AAGGCAACGAGACGCCCAAGGTCGAGTCACCACAAGCTCCTTACCCGAATGCAGCAGGCACAGGCACTGTTTTTAAACTCCGAGATCACATCTGCCTTCTTAATTGCCATGGCTTCGATGTTCTGGGCATCTGCTCAGAAACCGGGGACAAAGGGCAATCTGGTCAGTGACAGGCTGGCATTTTGTTTTTGTTTTTTCCCCGGCTTTTCTCTTTTGAAATTCTTACATTCGGTAAAGACGAAGGAGAGGACGAGGAAGCGCAGCTTCTTGGATCCCAACTTCATGACGATCGAGGCGATTTCGGGCTCTCCCGTGCGCTGCAGCCAGTGTATGGCCTCGTCCACCCAGTCGGCGCTCTGACAGCAGGGCAAGACGCACGCAATCAGTCTTTTTTCTTTTTAATACAGCTGCACTCCATATGTGGAACATGGACACCACTTTAATTATTTTAACTCGGGCATTCATAGTTTCTTAGTCGAGGCTTTTAAAAGACAATCAGAAAGAAGAAACGGCAGATTGACTCAGGAAGGAAGAAACTGGGAACGAGGCCCAAAGACTTGCTACAAATCTCACTCACAAAAAGTTTGAATGAACTTGATCAATTCTTGCGGACGTTTGCTACACCCGACGAAGCAAAACTTTTTCAGTGGACTTACCCCATTAAACCGATAACTAATTATCATCAATTCCATCGCTAAATCGTCTCTCAGCTGAAAGACAATGCATGGGGGTTATTAGCAGATTCATTTTAAGCTCTTTACATTAAAATATATGGATGATGCAGAAACTGCCCACATCTACTACAATATCCACATATAAAATCAAAATGAACTTTACAATAATTATTGCCACAAACAATATTATTTTAAAAAACAATTACATACTTTCTTTTTGTAATTCCACTCAATTAAAATGTGTACCAGTGAATACAACTATATAGACTTTATATATATATATCTATATTGCAAATTACAATGATACCAACTTTCAAAGAAACAAGTGAAAATGATATTAAACAATAGCAGCACCCCCCAGAGATACAGCACACTTTCACACCAAAACGAAGACATTCGTGGCCCATGCATGTGTCAGTAAACCATTATTTTAAAGAACAAATAACCAGTGTTTTTAGTCGCTTGTGAGTTGAGTGAAAAACTCACACATCCTCGGGCCGTTGCTCTGAGAACGGATTCCAGAATTTCTATCCTGTAGAGTCTCTTAAGGGTCAAGTCATTGTGGATACTGAAATAAAAAACACACAGTGAAGCACACAAGTACAAACAGCCAGTTCAAATTACTTGATGTCTGTTAAATCAAATCGAAGCAGATGAACAGAAATAAGAATCGCACCCGTGTGCCTTTTGAAGACTCGTTCTAGCCATTCAAATTAAGGTGAAGCACTGACAAAAGTTAACTGTAGATCACATTTACACAATTCGTGCAAAACATCTCCGAAAAGACAGGAGGAGTACAAAGTTCTCGAGAGCAGCTCAACCTACTTGGCATCCAGGAATCCCGCTTCGACGGCCCAGCGCGTAACACTGGACGTTTCCGATTGCTTCAGCAGAATGTGCCACCAGAACACGTAGACGTGGATCACTTGGCATGTTTCCGTTTTCACAGATGGCGGAATTCTTCTCCACGAATCACAAATCCGGTCTTCAAACGGAACGTCCGAAGGAAGAGAAATTTAATGCCCCTCCACAGAAATCACACTTTTTTTTTTCAAATCACGTTCCACCACAAGCAGAGCCTTCTTCCCCACCCCAAACAACCACATCCAATATGCAATGCAGGCACACACTAGTGTCTGCCTAGTGTGACACTAGTGTAAATGACGGATTAATACCTTTTTTTTTACTATATAATGCTAGCATGCCCAAAGGGGTTGGGCAGCCAGTTGACCTTGGACCCCTACAGGTTTTTATTCTCCTTACTAAGGAGTTTTTGGTTCCACTCCTCCATTGTCTTCTGGTCTTTTCTGTTCTGCGCTCACAACCTGTATGGTCACTTGCTTTGTTAAACACCTTGGGGCAACATTGTTGTGAAAGGCGCTATATAAAAATAAATTGAATTGAATGGTGTCTTATATTTGCACACATGAGTGCCCAGGTCTGTCACAACAATGATGATGATGTGTAACAGAACATAAAAAGCAGAATGAAAAACTGGTGTCAAAGCTATTGCACCATACCTCAAGGAGCTGCCTTATCTGAACAAACTGAGTAGGAAGCAGGACACCGATTAAAAAAAAAAAGATGTTCACTAATGCTGCTTCAAATAAGACACTCTTATAATTTGGAGAACAGCAACAATAACTTTAAATCATAATTCAAGCAACACTTACCCAGAGATGACATGGGAGACAGAGTATAAATGTTTTCATAGCTCTGTGAAGAACAAAGATATCAGTAGCTATTTCACAAGGTTTCTACAGCCACAACACAGTGAAAACTGTGAAAACTAAACAGAGGTGTGTGGACCTTTCTCAAGTCCTGTATTATCTCACTCAACAGTGCAGGTTCATATCTTTGGAGAATAATATATCCAGTTATATATCCAAACAGCAACACTACTGCAGAACTCGTCATGGTCACTGTGATGTGAAACTAAAGCCACATTCCTAACCTGGGCCTAAAAGGACTTGCTTACCAAGCTTTTGATACAAAATAAATGCAACTTACTCTTTTTCTGGCATGTGGAGCATCTTCAAACTCCGGGTCTGAATCCACATCACACATTTTGGAAAATCCTTAATAAAAATGTATAAAAAGTTTAAATGTTTTTCTTATTATACCCATCTTAAAAGCTTGTGTTAAATACAGTGTTTTTATAATTCTTGTCATGAATGTGTTAGAAATAATTAACATTACAGTGTAATTTTACCCTAAACCTAGAAAATGGCATGCACACCCCACCTTTTGCACTAAACATGCTGTACAAGGATGCAATTAAAAAGTGAGAAGATGACTACAACAATATTATTTATTAACACATAAGGGTGTTTTTTTACAATAAAGGCCACCCTAACAAACACAATGACCACAATTTATTGAATTTTCGAAATAAAACTCACTTAATGCTTTTAACGACTGAGTCCAAATATGTATGTTCTATATCTAAAAAAAATCAGTCAACTTATCAGGTAAAAAAAAACAAATACAGCAGACATATCAAACTACACACTCCAATCTCTACAACGCATTTTATCTCAACCATACTAAAAAGTTCAAGAATGCCATCTTAATGAAGCTGTTCTGGGAATTTAGACCCTAAAATACACTGAGCTTCTGTGAGAGTTGTGAGGAGACAGGAATGTGATAGTTTACATGTTAAGTTTAAAACATTTTTGCTTCATTAACACTTTCCTCTTTTGAAAAAACACAATGAAGTGAGTATAATCTGAAACGATTAAAGTACTGCTTGTTTTTATATGACGACAAAGCAACTTATTAGTAGCAACACTTAAAAACAACAGAACAGAAAAAAAAACTTCCAAATTCTGTTTTCTTAAGCGTACTGAAATGCAAAGATGAAAATGCATGCTGATACTACCTGCACAAAAATGTGCATCTGGCTGCTCCGTAATGTTTTAAGTGGGTCAACCCATGCCAGAAAAGTGGGGTTTTGTCTCAGTTTGTCTCAGATAGTGACAGAAAAATTAACTTGTGATAAATCTGTATTACAAAACATAACTATTTCTGAACTCTGAGGTTATAAAAAAGCCCCAGGTAATTTTGTAGCACAATGTGAGAATGACTAAAATTTCTTTCTGTCAAAAGAAGAACAAACGAGTTTCCTAGGCTCTCTCTCCTAGTGTAATCTCACCTGTTTTGTTTTATGCGGCAGCCTCAATACTGAAGATGTTCAAGAACTATTTATAGTTAAATTAGGGATGGAGAATGGCTGCTACGCTCTTTGTAATTGGTGCCTTTTATCACAGGTCTTTGACATACTAAATTTAGTTCAGAATCTCTGTAATTATGTCTTAATTACATTTTTGAGTTGCAATAACAGAAATTTAAAACTCTCACAGTTGAATATACATTTCAAGGGTTTCCCAAATCAAGAGTTACGTAAAGTAATAACCCTATAATTAAAACATGAAAATAAAAACACATATTGATCTCTAGTCTCTACATTGCAAGCAGGCAGTTATGTTATACCACAGACTACTACATTTATTCAGTATGTGCTTTTTTCAATGAAAATGTAATAGATTTCTTTACATCATAAAAATATATTTTTTACTTTAACCTGTAAAACCCATTTTTGAAAATTTGAGTGGAAATAAAAACAAAATATAGGTGTTATTCATTCATAATGTACATAGTGAATGTACTAGTTCAGGTGACTAGCTGCGTCAGCATGCATAGGCTGCAAAGGAACAGTAATAGGTTTATTCCATGCTGAAAAGAGAAGAAAGAAAACAACGTTTTGGCCATGGAGCCTTCTTCAGGTGTTTTCTTTCTTCTCTTTTCAGCATGTAATAAACCTATATAGTGTATGTACTTCTTAACCTTGTCAATCAAAATGCTGATTTTGGTAAGAGGTAAATAAAAAAAAAACTGGCATGCAGCCCCTCTACTTGTAAATATACTTTACTACATCAAAAACCAGACAGCCCAAAACACTAAAGCAGAAAATATATAACCTACAAGTAAAATAAAACAGTGGGTGAATAAGACAGAATTATCTCCCCTCACAAAATTCATGTTACCTTAACAAATATGACAGAGGACTGTTAGGGTTCTGAAGAGTTTTTCCCAAAGGCTAAGACCTTATCAATGGCAAGCAAGAGTGGGCCCAATACACACCCCTGAGGCACTCCAGTACAAACAGCTGTTGTGGCAGGAATGTAGTTTAACTTAAGACAGTGTGACAGGACTGCACTGTTGGCCTAAGGAGAGAGGAAAGCTACTCCTCTCCCAGCACAGACCCATGGAGAGCGAGTCACCATGACTGTGCAAAGAATATCCAGGGTGCTGTAAATTCCAGCACTTCCCTTTTCCTAAACTATGAACACATGCAATTTGCTGAAAGCAAAGAAATTTAGATACCCTTGTCAGACAGGAACGAAAAAGAAAGGTATTTACCAACACAAACATTCAGCAGTTATGTCACATCTTAGGTATCTTAGTACTCTCACAGAGTCAGAAATGAAAGAGAATTGACATATTTTATGAGATGATTTGTCAGTCTGATCCTGACAAATACTCATTTTTCAGCATAGGAGTCCTGTTAAGTTTCACTTTAACACTTACCATGATGTAAGGTATACCTGCCCTTGCAAACAAATGTATTGAAAAACAATAGTTTGACACATAAATAATTAAAAATCTTAGCATCTGTCACATTGGGACATTTGTTACATTACACACAAAAATGGTCACAAAATGTACATCTTTTTACATTTCACTAAATATCACTTCCAATTAGTTATCAAGTGGGTTACCACAACCACAACTTCAGTGGGTTACCAGTTGTGAGTTGCAGGGTGATATGGCTGCTGGCTTTACAGTACTTAATATTTGTAAAATACTTTACAAATGACTAGTAATTTTAATCACAATATTGTTTTCTGTTAGTGGCTTCAGTTTTCTGTACATTGGAAGTCAAATGTAAAACAGTACACCAAAAAATATTTTTAAAGCTTCAAAATAAAATGATTTGATACTTTGATAAAATGATACTTTGGTGTTTTGTATTCTGTAGACCTGTGCTTATTTTCACATGTATCATAACTCCAGTAAAAAAAACAAACAAACAGAACACTAGTTCCAGTGTTAGCCTAAATAAGCTAGTGCAATGTATGTACTGAATAAACCTCAACTCAGTTAGCACTATCAGAAGACACTTATATCAGTACTGATACAATTAAACTAAGCAATATAAGGCTCTTTTAATTGATTTTCCATACCAACTTTATAAGAATTATTAGATGTTAATAGTATGAATCAATCCTGTTTAACTGATTGAATATTTACTGTTTATTGGAATCACATTTCCAAACTACATTTTTAGTTTGCTTAGTCACTCTTCTGTGCAAATTCATTGCTTCCTGGGCATAGATGGGCGGACACACTGAAGCGACGAGTCACATTCACACGATTCTCGGAGAAGAAGTGGCTCAGTGAATCTCTTTTGTAGTTACAAAGCACAGAGTAAACACGCCGTCCTCTTCTATACCAACGCGACAGTAAGAAAGCCCCCATCCATCCAGAGTCAGAAAGCAGCTTATTCCTGGGAAATGTTGCAGCAAACCGTTATCTCTATCCGAAAAGCTAAGCCAATGACACCACTGAAGGGTCGCTCGTCCCAGACAGGGCAAGTAGGGATCAAACAACCAGCAAGAAACTGTGAAAGATGCGAAGACATTGGAGCACCCAGAGAAAACGGAATTGGCGCTACACGAAGACACTGTCGAGTGTTAGACTTATATCAAGTCTAATATATCTTACATCAAGTCTAACCCACATGATTTCTAAGCGAGCTACCATTTCCATTTAGGGTGAAGTGTCTGGTGTGCAGACAAAAACTTTCCGAAGGCTAGTCATCTTTCTGGACCGGTGCAGTTGGAATACCATGAAACTAGCCCTACACCGACAAGTTCAAGCACAGGTCCATCTACTACAGTTGCTTGTTTGTTTTTTTTTACCAGAAAGATCGGGAGACATTCCTGGATCTTAAAAGTTGAAACGGTTCGTTAGTTTAGATAAAACGTTGCTTCGTAGTCAATTAAAAAAAATATACCTTGTGCCAGTCGTACTGGAGGCTGTGGCGTGTACTTACATAAAATAATAAAACATTCAAAGTAATAAAGCCGTTAGAAATTAGGCTATATTCCCGATTATTTCACTAAATTATTTCCTAGGCATACCGCCAAAACAAAGTCTCCACCTCTCTTTTTTCGGGTATGTCGCTGTTTTGATTTCAAAGGGAAAAAAAAAGCCACAGACTACAACGACTAGCAAGAACAACAATACCACAGGCGGTGCAGAAATGTCACCTACCAGGGTATAAACTTTCAGTTTCGCTAGTGTACCATGCCATGAAGATCTTCACCCATCACAGAAAACAGCTAGACGAGACCACACTCCCAACCATGGAGAACACAGCCTGGGTCGGGCTCATGTGACCGGAAGTGATTAACATCGATTGTTTTACTTCCGGGATTTGTTTCCACGGGGGGTCATGGTTCATCATCATCATCGGAGAGAGTAAGAGTTGTGTATGTGCTTTTTTTTGTTGTTATTCCGCCAGAGAGATTTTGCTTTACATAGGGGGCAAAGCGAGCGGTAACTTTGCTGTGTCGCATTTCCTTATGATAGATTTGATTATAAATATGAGGGGGTGGATAGTCATCTTCCGGGTTCTCCTGCAGTATCAATTATTGCATTCCATTTTCTTTCTGTCTTTTAAACTTTACGGAGTACGAGGTACGCCTTTGTAGGTAACGCAAGATGAACCGTTACACGGCAAAGACTTGTTTATTTTTTATTTTGGTCTTTCGGGGTTTTTTTTTTTATTTGAGCGTCCCAAGCAGGACGTTGGGATTTGATCCGATACATTAGTTACCTGTCAAGATCTTTCTGCTGTTTTTGTGTCGTTTCAGTCCGTAAGCTGGTTGACCTACCCCTATAGCGAGGAAACGCTTTTTTTTTAATCTCAGGAAAATAAGGGTTAACATAGTGCGTTTTATTTCAGTACAGTTTTACCAGTAATAAAGTTGCGTATTGCAAATGGGTTCAGTTAATACGTTGTGGTGTTTCGCGAATATATAGTACATCGCAAAGTATGTATTTAAATTGTAAAAATGCTGTTATACCAAACGTTTTGAAATTATACCTTAGTTTCCCATTTGTTATTACGTTTTATTTCTTTTAGGGGGGTTATATAATAGCGTTATGCATAAATCGAAAACGTATGTATATTAAGACATAATTATCCAAGTGGTGGTTTCACAACTATTTGGCTCCAGGGATTCGGTGATGAGCTCTCGATTTCTGGCCACTGCGAGAGGGTTCTCTCTGTCTAGAAGACTTTTGTTTCTTTCGAGTGGTCTGTCCGAACCGTTTAAGTTTTGCAGGAAAAATATATTAGTGGTGCTGGCATAGACATCGGCGTCTTTACATTATTGATAAATATTCAGATGAGAAATTGATTATTGAGTGTGTGATAGCCCAGTTGCGACAGCTGCATTACACCCATACTTGACGTTTTTAAAGGAATAGGATAACGTAGACCGATAAACTGAGTTCTCTTGTTCAAGTTGACCAGCAAGACTGGAAATGAGACGTAATTGACGTATCACTACCAGGCAAATCAAACTAAATAACTGGCAAACTACACGAATAATAGTAAACCTAATGTAGTTATGTATTTAGTGGTCAGGTCTCAGAGCTCTAAAATTAATTTATGATCATCCTGGAAGCACTTACAAATAAGTACTGTTATTGACGAATGCCAGCGGCTTCTCTTTTTTTTTCTCTCCTTGTCTGAGAGATAAAAAGATATCCTGTTTGCCTTCAGGGGTCTTATCTGTCCCTGCGTGAACTAGGACTGTATCTTTGGAGTGAAACTGAATGATAAGAAGAAAGCTTCGTTTCCCTTGTGATCTGTACAGCTGCACATTCTGAAAAGAAAAACGCTCTTTTTAATTAGTGCTTTACAGTGGTGTTCAGGTCTCGTAAATGTCTGCTCAGATTAAAATAAAATTGTTTTCCTTGACAGTGAATTGGATTCGATTTCCCAGAAACGTTCATTTACTACCCATCATTTGTCTTTGTCCTTCAGACTCAGTGCCCTCTAGTGGACTTTCCCCCATTCTTTTCGAGAAAAGAAGTAAACTTGCCCAGTTTAGGAACAAGTAAAGGTTTATTCCATGCTAAAAAGAGAAGAAAACGTTTCGGCAGCGGAGCCTTCTTTGGCTGTGCC